TTTTTTTTTGGAACAAAATTTGTTGCGAAAATAGGGATTGAATTTTGAGCAATACGTTTAGTTACAAACAACTTTTGTTAACTCTATTATATTTTTCTGTATTCAAAGTTTTATGGATTTTGTGGAAAGTCTTGGCTTTATGGACACTGGTTGATTGACGTGAAACATATTGCTCAAGCTAATTAATACCCTACGTTTTTTTCTTGGCTGAAATATTCATTTGAAATTTGACTGAGTCAGCCAAAGTTACCTATTTACTAGCTGTTTTGAAATGTTGTTGATGGTTTAGCGGTAATTAATTGGGCAACTCGGGTTACGTTTGCAGTCCTCCAAAATGTCTGAGTTGAAGCTGCTTAAGTTTTATGCTTTCAATCAATACTTCGCTGTTTTTTTATGCCGTCTCGCGGGGAAAATGACTTCTAAAGGTTTCGTGGATGAAAGTGTAGGACGGATCTGATAATTACTCATGCAGTTTCACTTCGGATTTTTAGTAACGGATCGTAAATTAGGTTTTCAATACCTATGATTTGTACTACTGCTTTTATTATTTTCCTTTCATAAACTAGCGCAATGAAGTTGTTCTCATGGAAAGAATGTTGGAAAACGTGGAAAATATCGTTTGTTGGTCTCTCAATTTTATTGCGCACTTTTACAGGACCTCAGTCATCCTACCGGAAATGGCTTCAACCCGCACATTTCATGTAACATAGAGCAATCAACTTTTGACTGAATATGTCGAGAGTATTCGGCGTAAGTTTAATTATTGTTACTTATATTATTATTATCGTTGTAGTAATAATAACAATAATAATGATAATGATAATAATAGTAACGATAATATAAATAGTAATAGTAGTTACCGCTACTATTACTATTACCATCACTATTATTATTACCATTACTATTACTATTATTACTTTTAAATGTTGTTTGGCTGAAGTAGCAGATTTCTTTGTATTTTATGAGATGCTTAAGGAGAAAAATCATGAAAGCTTTAAATGATTTCGGTTTTCTTTTTTGTTGATTAAATTGTATATTTTAGAAGTTCTTTCGCAGTGCATTCTCACCAAAATATTTGTTGGTAACTAACACAGTTTCTTGCACATCTTTATTGGCAGTTGGTGATCTTCTACAACAATATCTTCATGGAGAATGGGACATTAAAAATGGAAAACCATTCGATGGTTGGAGAACTTGTTAGTGACAGAGCGTATTTATCCCTGATTTAGAGTTACTTCTGTTCATCGTACCTGTACTGGGAGTTCTTAATTTTAAAAGATTTGATACTGGCATTCATAAATACTTTTTTCGCTTGGAAACGTTGTGGATCTGTGTGACAAAATTTCTGTTTAGTTCGCTTTTCCGTATTGGGTGTCGTTATTGGTCCTGCGAATCATTACTGGTTTAAGTTCCTAGATTCTTATTTTGTTCATGGACGAAAATCTGCAATTGTTGCCAAAAAAGTTATTTCTGATCTCGCAATTGCTCCGGTTTTTGATTGTTTTTTTATAACAGGTGAACTTCTAAGTTTTTGACTTGATCATTATGGTAATAAAAAACAGTGGTCGTTATCCTCTGTAGTTTATATTTTTACTTAATTTATGGCAGTATCGGCATTTGTTCTATTTGTTAAGCATCTGTTATTATTGGTATATTAAATATAAGTTTTGATAAGTTTATTACTGCTATTTAAGGACTTTTGAATTCATGTAATAATTTTTTCAGGTGTTGCAATGTTGGAAGGGAAATCTCTTCCTGCTGGTTTTGAGGAATACTGTAGGAAGTTCTTCAAACTTTTAA